TAGGTGGATAACAGCTACCCCCCGGAGATGTCGTTGACCGAGCGCGAAAACGGCTGCGCTCCCCTCCCGGGCCCTGCTCCATTCCCAGGGTCCCGCCGCTCCTTCCTCGCTGTATTAACTCGTAGCCCCTCAGTCGTTTGTAACCATAAAGGGGAGAAATATTGTTACGGGCGAAGTTCGTGCGATGCTGCGGCTCCCGCTGCGCCGGGCACTTTATACTCATTAAGTGCAGCGGCGCTAAGTCATTACTGTAATAAGGAGTTATGCTGAATACAAGGGGCCACGTTTCCAAAGCCATAAATTACAACTGTCAGTGCGTATTCGAGGGATCAACAGAGCGGGGAGTAATTATTTACGGCGTGCTTTATAGAGCAATTAAAAATTCCCCAAATGGTGTTAATCGCTTTTAATGCGCAGGAACCTCGGGCCGCCCTTCCCGCGGACACGGAGCAGGGGAAAAGCCGCCGCCGATGGAGCGGGGGCTTTGGGGACCGTCCCTAACGGGTGGCTCTCGATGGGACCGGCGGGAAACGAGATTTCACGTTGGGAAGCCCGCACTGCCGCGGGAGGCCGGCGGCTTGATGCGGTGGTCGCGTTGCTTGACTGTCATCGTCTGTCGCGACATTTGCCACATAACTCAGGACGGCAGAGCTGAGTAGTAGGGCCCCGACGGCAGCGGGACGGGCCCCCACGGGCACTGGCTCCTCCGCCGTGATTGATTTACAGGGGTTGGGACGGGAGAGAAAGAGCTGGGAGAGGTGGTGGACGTGCGGAAGGGTTCCCCCAGCCAAACGATTTAAACAAATTAAGAAGAGAGGAAGGCAAGGAGCCGGGGTGCACCCTTCTGCTGGGGCGGTAGGGGTGGGTTTGTCATCAGGTACCTGCCTGAGGCGGAGACGCTCACTCTCCTTTTAGGAAAACGGGAGGATTTTGCAGGTTCCAGAAAGCACTGCTCGAAGCACAGGTTTTGGAGCGAGCCCAGTGCGTTTCCCTGGGACCTTGCCAAGGTCCCAGACACGTCACTTTTGTCCCCGGTCCCTGCAGGAAGGCTTGTATTTCGCAGCAGGCTCCCGGCCGGCAGCTGCGAGGCAGGGAGGCAGCTTGCGATGCCGAGCTCCCAGGAGCCCCCAGCTGCAGGGGAGCTCAGCTCAGCGCTAAGGCTAAGGGAAGCCTTGGGAAGACAGAAAAGCAGGAGAAAAGGAGGGTGGAGGTCAGGCCCCGATTGGGCTGCCCCTCTCCCCTGTCAGGAGGCAGATGCACTCGATCAATGAGAGAACCTGAGAAAGGATCCCCAGGCCCTCATCAGGAGGGAGAGGGGAGCCTTCTGCAGCACGGGAAGGGCCCTAGTCTCTATTTCCAACTCCTAGCATGGATATACCAAGCCCGCAACCCTCAGTTTGGGTAGGATTGAACCATAGTTTTGGAAAAGAGCTTGTCCCAGCACTTGTTCGGGGCAGGTGAAGGGGGGCAATGGGGCAGTGATAGGAATATGTCAGTGGCTGTAGGTGCTTAAAGGGGGCGAGATGCTCTTGGAGAAGTAGAGACCAAGGGCATTGGGCTTCTCAGTGTACTGATTTTGCAGCAACTTAGTGCCTGTGTCAGCTCCTGCATTGGAGCCTTCCTTCCACCTCCAAAGAGGTCTGATCCAGCTTCCTGATGTTTCCTGTAAAAAGGGATTTCTCCCCCTCTGGCTAGAAAAGAAACTCCACTACCTAAATAGCAAACATCTGAGAATGCCTGTCTCCCTGAGCTCGGTGTAGAGTACGATCCCTGAATTATTTTTCTGCAGGGTCTGATATTGGAGTCCTAGCAAACATCATCAAATCCAGCCCCTAGCAGGTGGGAGGATGCTGGCTGGGGATCTTCCTCCAAGCAGCAGCCAGGCACAGTGGGCTGGACTGGGGGGCCTTTGACTCCCACCCCAGGGATTCATTTGTAGGATTGTTGGATGCACTTTGAACTGTGTGCTGACCCTTATAAACTTTCCCATTGGGATGGGAACCTGAAAGCACCAAGACTGCCTCTCACATGTCCTGGTGCAGCACTGCACATCCTCTTAGAGGACTAAAGTTCTCTTTAGCCCCAGAATTGGGGAGCTGTATGTATAGGATATAAATTAATTGCCAGTTCTCATAAGAAAGCACTGCTCAAGCCCCAGCCCTGGACAGCCCAAGAGGAAACAAACCAGGAGCAATTTGGAGTATCTGAACCAGGTGTTGTCCTGGAGCTTAGATGTGCAGCGTCCAAAATTCCAATGGCAGGAGCTATGTGACTTTCCCAAGGCTGCATGTGAGGTCTGTGGCTTGTGTAGAGATTAAATCCTGGGGCTGTGCATCATCCAAAAAAAAACCATCCGCAATTCCCATTGACTTCCAGAAGTCATGAATCCCAGTTGGGCCCTCCCTGCCTTTTTCTTTTGTCCTTGCTGGGTGCTGGGCAGGGAAAGATCGAACTTACCTGTAGTCTGTCTCCTGTAAGGTTTTAATGCCAGAAAGCCCCTACTTTGGGCTCAGCAGCTGGGGGCTGTGACCCTCATTAGGCAGTCTGGCTCAGTGGTGGTGACCTTGTGATTTCTTGGGGCCAGTCCCTCTGGGGCCCTCAGCATCTGCTCAGTTTGGGGGGATCTCTAGCACAGGGAAGGCCGAAGTCTTTGCCCAGCATCGACTGGGGCCTTTGGGATGTGCAAGGAGCATCAGACAGATGTGTTACTTACTGGAGAGAAGGCACCTCCTGGGTCTCGGCAGCAGAGCTGTGTCCCTCTGGCTCTCAGAGCTCATGGGCAGGGGGCTCTGGCACTGCACAGGGATGGCATGGTGTGCTTTGCCACTTCTCTGTGGAGAAAGCTGACACGCTCAGGGCTGGTGAGCGGGCTCTGCCCCACATTCCCCGTATGGGACAGGGTTGGAGAACCCCAGGCTGGTCCTGGAGAAGTGCAAAGGCAGCTGCAGCCCTGGGGCCTGAGAAGGCCCCTGCCCGAGGGCAGCCTCCCGGCTCTGCTAGCCCCAGCCCTCGCTCCCTCCCTCCCCTCCCAGCTCCTCCTAACCACAAGGACTTTGGTTGATGGAGCTGGCGCCAGCGAGTTCCCTGAAGAGTTCAGAAGTCAAGAACTGAGGCAGGTACGGGGAGGGGGGGAAACCCGACCCTGGCGGCCAGGCAGGGCTGGGCTGTGGTGGGGAGAGGGCCGGCAGAGCACCGGGCACCGGCTGGGCATGGGGCTGAGGGGCAGCCGTGAGCTGCTGCTGCCCACTGCACCTCTACAGCCTCCCTGGTGTGGGGTCCTGGTCGTGGGTGCGCTGATAATGGTGGAGTGAGGGTGGCACCACAAGCACTGGTGTGTCTGTGTGTATCTGACTGCACAGGTATAGCGGTCATTAATGGATATTGTGGGAGCGAATGTGCGTGTGTGAATGCATACGGTTGTGAAGGTGTGAGCGAGAACGCGTGTGTGTGTGAATTTGTGTGAGCGGAGGAAAGACTGTATCTGTGAGAACGGGAGGCACGGAATAAGTGTGCACAAATGTAGGTGTGTGCAAGTGAATGTGTGTGACTGCGTGGCAGCCTTTGAGCTCATGTGGGTGTTTTTGTGCGTCTTAGAGAGGGTGTCTGCAAGGCCGTGTGGGTGGGTATGTGCTTGAGGATGTGCATGGGATAGTCTGTATATGGCTGTGAGTGAGGAGGTGTAAGGGAGTGCACGGCACGGCTTTCTATGCCAGTGCACTTGTATTGCGTTGGGACCTCCACGGCACTCCCTCCGCCATTGACCAACCAGCACGCTGAAGGCACAGAGGGCAGCGGTTGTCCTGGCAGGGAGGATGGCCCGCTCGGAGGAACGGGGGAACGGAGCAGGCTGACCGTTGCGAGCAAAGCACAAACTAGCAGGGAAAGTCTCGACCGGGACAGTCGGGCCGCACTGGGCAGAGTCGGGAGACAGCAGCATGGGGCAGGAACTGACAGTGTCCCCGCCCCACCAGCGGCTCTGCCCCAACTTCCCTATCCCCGGCGGCGCGGAGCGGGAGCACAGACGGGCAGGCCCAAATACATTTTGCAGCAAATTACAGCCAAGGCTTTCGATTTTTTCGTGTATTTATTTATTCCGTTGTTTAGACTTCACGTTTTTAACGAAAACTCTCGTCGCCCACGGGCAGGCTCGGCGGCGGTCCCTGCAGCAGCGAGTGCCCCGCTCAGTCCTCGCCCCGCCGCTGCCCCGGGGGGAGCAGCTGCGGCCGGCGCTCTGCCCGAGGGAATGAGCTCCCCCAGCTCCCCGGTGGGAGGTGTGCCCCAGGTGGCCATCGCCTCTCTCCATGGTACCCCCTCCACAGGCCTGGCACTCGTGGAGGTTTTCCTGGCAGGTCCCTTGTCCCCGTTCTGGCTACTGGAGATGGCGGAGACCCCCACCCCCTTCCTCCGCGGCTTTTTGAGAAGTGCTGACTTCAAATTGAGAACACCCCCCCCGGAGAAAAGGGGCCAGTTGGGTCTGGAACCCCTCTAGGAACGGATCCTCCGGCTTCAGCCCCTCACACGGGATCAGTTGGCAGCTCACGGTGATCGCCGCCCAGGGCATCATCCCGCCGCCACGGGGACTGACAGCCTGGATCCCCTTACCCAGCAACCCACAACCATAAACTCTGGGACAAAACGTTCCCCTCTTCTGCCACCGAGTACCTGCTACTTCTTTACCCACCCCAGTGCCCTGCGCTGACTTTATAAGGCCGAAAGAGTGGTGATCTTTTTTTTTTTTTTCGAGGTGGGGGGAAGCTGGGGAAGAAGAAACTCCTTTTCTCGTGTGCTCTTCTCTGCTGTCATTCACTCGGCTCCTTTCAGCATCCAGCCAATGGAGAGTGAGGGCCCGGGAGCAGTAGGCCTTGGGTAGCGTGATTGATGGGCAAGCGGGGCGCTCACACTCGCACTCCGCCGCGCTCCGCTCTGCTCCTCTCCGCGGGGCTCCCGGCTCCCCACCGCCCGCGGCGGCGAGGGGTCTCCGGGGCACCTTCGTGGGGGTGTGGGTCTGTGTGTGTGTGGCTTGGGTGAGCGACTCTTGGCTTCGGTGGTGGCGTCTTGGTGGCGGTGGGGTGCTGGGACTCATCGGAGCGGGTGGGGTGTTGCGTCCCTGCTCCCGGAGGCTTTTGGTCCCGTGGGGACGTGGGAGACGTCTCGGTTGTGTCTCGAGTGTGCAGCTCCCGAGCCCCTGCGGGGCACTACTGTCGTGTCCTGGGCTGCGCGGTTGTGCAGCTCCCGTGCCCCGGTTGCGCATGGCTCTGCTGCTGGCTCTGTGGGCTGAGCGTGTGGCTGCCGTGTCCCGGCAGTGTGTGGCTTTGCTGCTGGTTCTTGGGGTGCGCGAACGCTGTGCTATGGGACTGAGCGTGTAGCCGGTGTGTCCGGGTTGTACGCGGCTCCGTTGCCGTGTTTAGGGGCGGTGAGGAGCTGTGCTGCCCGGCCCGGGGCGGAGGTCCGGCCCCGGTGCCCCGGGGCGTTGTACGCGGCTCCGCTGCAGGGGCCGGGCGGCGGCTCCCGTCCGGCGGCATGGAGCACCTCGGGGCTCACCACCTGCACCAAGGCCAAGCCGAGCCCATCAGCTTCGGCATCGACCAGATCCTCAACACGTCGGAGCCGGGCAGCTGCATGGTATCGCACCCGCGGCTGCAGGACTCGGCGGACTACGGGTTGGGCTGCATCGTGGGCAGCGCCTACAACACGGTCACGGGTGGCTACGGGGCGAGCGGCGGTGCGGCCGGCGCCTACACCGGTACCTCCTGCAGCATGGGCGGCCTGCCCGGCTCCTACAACGTGAACATGGCGGTGAGCATGAACAGCAACACCTTGAGCTCAGCCGGGGGGGTGATCCGCGTCCCGGCCCATCGCCCTGTGGCCAGCGGCGTGCACCAGCCCCTCTCCGCCGCTGTACCGGCGGTGAACGGCATGAACAGTATCACGGGGCTCACCTTCCCTTGGATGGAGAGCAACAGGCGGTACACAAAAGACAGATTCACAGGTGAGTCGGGACACCGGGACCCCCCTTCCTTTCCTGCTCCTGCCGCCCCGCTCCCTTTCCCGCCGCCCGGCCTCGGCGCGGCAGCCAGTGCCCACCGGAGAGACAGGATCTGGCCCCGGGGGGGGAGATTCAGGCAGAGGCCTGACTTGCCCTGAGAAGATCTCGGAGGAGACCAGGAGCATGACGAGGTGGACAAGTGGGCGCATTCAGTCCCTCCTAAGTGCATTTTATTATAATTTTTAAATTATTTTACTTTTTTTTTTGTTTTGATTTGATTTTTGTTGTTCGTCCTTTAGTGGTGGGTTTGGTTTGGTTTGGTTTTCTTGTTTTTCCCCGGGATGCTGCTCGGTAAAGGCGAGGAGGGAGGAAACGGGATGGCAAATTTCACACACCTCCCACAGCCCCGGGCACGGCTGCCCGCTCCCGCCGCCCGACCCAAAGCCCGGGGAAAGTTTATTTTCAAAGAGCGGGTTATTTCGGAGTCAGAGCCCGGCCCGGCGGGAAGGGAGACCCTCGCCCGCACGGGAAGGCCGGCCCGTTGCCGATTGCCCGCAGAGCTCTTTTTCCCTTGAGTACTGTAACACGGCTGGTTAATCTCGGCTGCGAGTTTCGGGTCAGCTTTTCCCCCCACACAAGGGACTTTTTTCAGTCCCTAGCAGAGCGGGGCCCGGACTGGAGCCGCTTTCCAGACCCGGCGCCTTTTCCAGGTGTACCTGGGCTCGTCCTTCGGCGAGCAACGCCAAAGCAATAAAGCAAAAACTCGAAGCAACGAAAATAAGAAAGCAACAAAAAAAAGCAGCGAAATTGCAATGGGGAAAAGAATCGCCCTCCGCTCCTGCAGGGCCCGCACTGGCCCCTCTTCCCGGCGCGGAAAGCGAGGGCCAATTTTTAGAAGTTCACGTTTAATTTCGACCCGAAGGTGCTCGGCTCTGGCACGGCCGCGGGCCAACCGACGGGCCATTTCCCCGGCAGGCACCGGGTTGGACTTCTCGGAGCTTCTTCCCGTCCTGGCCGAGAGTTTTTCTGCCAATTATTTTTTTTCTATGGGGAAAAAAGAAAAAAAAAAAGAAAAAAAAAAAAGAAAAGAGAAACAATAGAAAAATGACATTAAAACCCTAACCAAACAATGATTGCAACTCCCATTTCTAGCCAGGGAAGGTATTTCCCGCGCACGAAACGCTGGGCCGAGCACGGTGAAGTTGCCCAAACGAAATTAAACCAAGCCCCGTTCGCACGAAGAGCAGAGCCCCGGCACGGCGCTAGCACCGACTGCCGCTTCTACCACCCCCCTCCGGGCATTTCACCGGGCAAGCGGCCGCCTTCCCCTCCACCAAAATCGAGCGGTGCCCGGCGGGTGCCCGCAGCACCCGGGGAAGGCGCCGGGACCGCCGCCGTTTTAGAGTCCGTGCGCAGTGTTGGCGGGGAAGCGGCGGCTTCGCAGCGGGGGGGTGCCCAGCCCAGCGCCCGGGAGCCGGAGCCCCTCTGCTGATATGTCGCTGCTTGCTTCTTTGCCTCTCATCCCCCCTCCTCCCGTGTCCCCCCCAGTGGCCCTCTCACCCTTCACTGTAACACGCCGTATAGGTCACCCCTACCAGAACCGCACGCCCCCCAAGAAGAAGAAGCCGCGCACCTCCTTCACCCGCCTGCAGATCTGCGAGCTGGAAAAGCGTTTCCACCGGCAGAAGTACCTGGCCTCGGCTGAACGCGCTGCCCTGGCCAAGGCCCTTAAGATGACTGATGCCCAGGTGAAGACCTGGTTCCAGAACCGACGCACCAAGTGGAGGTGAGGAGCTGGGGAGGCAGCTTTGGGGCAGCAGGCCTGCTGCCAGCTGCCTTGGTGGCTTCACATGGGGGTACAAGCCGCGTGAGTGCATTGGGTGGGTGTCACACGTGTGTGAATGTGAATTTGAGCATACACACACATGCAAATGCATGTGTACATGCACAGCCACGTGTGTGCCTGGGGGCATGAATGTGTATGTGTGCGTAGGCCATATATGCACATGCCTGTGCATGTGTGTGTGTGTAGCATGTGTGAGCATGTGCGCTCCTGAGTGGTTGTGTCCAAGCAGGGCGTGCGTGTGTCACTGCACAGCTTGTGTGGGGATGCTTTTGTGTGAAGGCCATGTGCCCCCACATGTGTGGGTGTGGGTGCTGGAGGTGTGCGTGCAAACCAGACACCTGCATGGGGATGCATGTGTGATGCGCGTGCAGGCTGTGTGCATTCCGTGTGTACTATATGTGAGCACACAGGGTCTACGTGCAAGCTGATTCGCATGCATACAACGAGGCTGAATGTATGTGTGCATACACACGTATGCAGGATTCATGTGTGAGGGTGCTGTGCGGCGGGTGCGGTCAGTGGTACCGGGGGGCACCCGACGCCTCTTTCCCCAGCGGCAGCATGTGGGAGCCCCGGCCCGGCGGCGGACGGAGCGCGGATCGGCGGCCGAGCCGCGCCGTCCCGGGGAGGGGTGGGATCGGGACCCCCGGCGCCGGGGCAGGGCCGCACCCGGCGTGGGCCGCATCCTGCACCCGGGGCTGCCGGGATACCGGGCTGTGCATCACGAGGAGGTTTTTCACCCCCGCGGGCTTTAGGGCACCTCCTTGCCAAAATGTTTTCTTTTTGTTCCCCTGCCGGGCGTGTCGGTAAAGTCGGGCGAGAGAGGAAAAGGAGGCCGGGCTCCACCGCCGTGACCCTGACCCTCCCAGGATGCGGCTTCCCGGGGTGTCCCCGGGGAAAGCACCCTTTGTCCTCGGAACATCCCCTGCTCCGGGCCGGGGGCAGACACCCTGAGGGGGGGGCTGGGCAAGGGGCAGCTCCCCGCAGCTCAGGGGAGTGTTGATGGGTGCTGGGTCTAGGCAGGCAGTAGCTTCTTCAAGGCAGGGAAAAGGACTTCCCCAGGGCCTCCCTGAGAGTGAATGGGACAGAGAGTGCCCGAGGATGCTGAGGTTGGATAAGAAATGAGGTTCAAAGAACTTGAAACCAAGAGTGTGGGTGAATCTCCCCCCTCAGCGATTCCTTCCCTAAACAGCATGGGAGAGCAACTCCCCAGGTGCCAGGAAGTCTCTAGCTGGAGTGATCTCTGTTGGCCAGGAGCAGAGTCCTGGAGAAGGAACTGCCATGGCCTGCAAAGCAGGGTCAGCTATGTCTTCTAACCTGGTTTCCTAAGGAAGTGAGGCAAATCCATCTGTCAATACTCCTTGCATTTGTTGGCTAAGTTCGGCCCCCTTTGGCAGAGAAGAAAAGGATACAAAGCTATTCATCTATTCCATAAAAAATAGCTGGGGAAAGAGAAACAAACTCCTGGTTCTGCCTAAGGGAAAGGCTGCAGCCTGACCTCAGCTGAAGTCTTAGACATGGGAGAATCCTCACTGGCCTGAGCCTGAGGGGTGCAAACTTGTAAGCTCTTCTTGTTTGCATCAATGTACGTTGGGTGTTGTGATGGAGATTTGGGTGCCCCTGGCTAATAGGACACCCAGCTCGCTGCTCTGGGCCCGTGCACAGGGCAGTGAGCTCTGAGCGGTGCCTGGAGTGCTGGGTGCTGGCAGGAGCCACTTGCAGGCACAGTCTGAGCTGTGCAGGAGGGAGTATCTGAGAAAAGAGTTGCTCTAAGGCCTCTGAGGGATTTAACTGTTTAAGTAAATGCAGGCTGAGAGGAAGAGTCTTGCCTCTGCCCCTTGCCCAGGTGTCTCTGCTGGAGTAAGTGGGCTGTGTCATCCCCTCCTTAGATTTGGGCTCTTGATTGAGACACGGGCATCAAGGTTTAATTCCTTCCAGGCAGATCTGAACTTACAGATCACAGCCTGACATGACGCATGGATTTACCAGTTGCTTAGAGCAGGGAGATATTTGGGAGCCTGGGTGCTCTCAGCCATCGTGTTCCTGACTGTTCTGGATGTGGGGCTCTCGCTCTCCTCCTGGAACACCTCTTCATTGTGCAGGGAGTCATTAAATATTCATCAAGGCAGAGATGCTGTGCAGGGAGGGCCGGTGCTGTTCTGAGCCCCAACTCCCCAGGATGTCTGATGTGAGATGTTGACATAGTGATTAGAGCAGGGACTGAGCCTTGAGCTACATGCTCCAGGGTGGGAGACTTGGCTGCACGCCTGGAGGCTTGTGACCCATCACCTGCATCCAGCTTTCACCCACCTGCCTGCTGGGCAGCCAGGGACCTGCTGCCCTGCTCTCTGAGACATCACTGTGGAGCTCAGGGCTGCCACTTCAAATCCCCACAGCCAAAGAGGATGAGACATCTTGCATCCCCCCGAGTTGCTAAATTAAAACGCTGCCTTTTCCCCTGTCACTGATCCACAGAAGCTGCCGGGAGAGCATCAGCTGAGCCCAGGGGTGTGTGAAAGAGACAGGGGGTGCTTTGGGGATCACCCTGGGACTGGCACTGTGAGCTGCCCTTGGGTTTTCCCAGCAGCATCACTGAAGGTGCCAGGAGATGTTCACCACTAAAAGCAGAGGTAACCACAGGGTGCAGCCTCCAGAATGACCTTGCTGCTATCCAAGCAAGGGAGGGGTGGGATTTTCAGGTGTGTTCAGGTCTTTTCTACCTATCTCATTCCCTGCTCCAAGAGATCCCAGAGCTGGAACCCTACCAGCACTGGAAAGGACGCAAGCAGGCCCTGATTCCTTCCTCAGCAGGATCAGCTCTGCTGGTTCATCCCAGATATATGCATATCCAACCTGTTCTTAAATATAGCTTCTTCACCCTGTTCAGACAGTTTATTCTGGGCTTTGAATCTTCTCAGTGCTAGAGATACGTTTCTAGTCTTTAGCCAACATTTTGCTGACTTTTGTCCTGCCTGCCTTGGGCATGCTGTTGCCTTCATCCAGATTCCTGACAGCTGGTCTCCACAGCCCAGCAAAGGAGATGGGAAGGGGATACCCAGGGTGATGTTGCCTGTCTCCCAGCCACGTGGCACTGCCAGTCAGTGGTGTCTCACCTCGCTCCTGCCCCATGCTCCTCATTAGGACATTGTGCACTTGGCTCTCACTGCTGGGCACAGGGCACATTTGCAGGGAATCCCACCTTTTGCAACCCCATCATGTGCTCCCATGGGTGTTTTGGCTCTGCTTGGGTTTTTCCCATGGGTGGGAAACAAACCAAAACTGTGGGCTGCTCCTGGCTTTCTGTGATCAGAGCAATTTTTGCTGGGGCTAGTAAGATACAGCCCAAGCCCCCAGTTTAAGGGATTTACGGGCAGTTTGGGGTGGGGATGTGGGCCTATGCCATGGCTAGGCATCCTCTTGTGCTACCCCCTCCCCCCCCCAACTCTAAGCATCCAGCACAACCTATTCTCTCTGGAGATACTCCTCCTTTGCTCCCCCAGATGCATCTAACTGCTCCCTCTTTCCTAGGAGGCAGACAGCAGAGGAGCGGGAGGCTGAGCGGCAGCAAGCGAACCGTATCCTCATGCAGCTGCAGCAGGAGGCCTTCCAAAAAACCATCAACCAGCCCATCCAAGCCGACCCCATCTGTGTCCACAATTCCTCTCTCTTTGCTCTCCAGAACCTCCAGCCTTGGTCTGATGACTCCACCAAGATCACCAGTGTCACCACTGTCGCTTCTGCTTGCGAGTAAGGCTAGCACCTGCTGGTGGCATGTGCACCTTCTGTTCGTGGGGTTGTCCCTGGGGGGACAAGCGGCATCACTGGTGGGACACTTGGCATACCTGTTTCTCCCTGGGGAAGGCTGTCACCCCGCAGTCATCTAGCCTCGTGTGCATCCCATGTGTCCAGCTGGGGAAAGCCTCCACAAGGACCGAAAGGAAGGGAAAACACCCCGAAAACTCTCCTTGCCTGTGGGGTTGCTGGAGCAGCAGTGGTGTCTCGCCTCCTCCCAACCCTTTTGTTCTCTTGAAAGTCTCCAGTGCCGACCGTGAACTTGCTGACTGCTGCCAGACAAAAAAACCAGCTCTGACACATGGCTGCCGGCGTTCACCCAGCTGGGAAAGAACTTCCTTTGGATTCTGCCAGCAGCAATGCAAAGCCTGGAGTCACCCTTATATATCCGTATATATATATATATATATATATAAAGTGTATGTATATATATATATATGTATACTTTGGACTGATGGCTTGAAACAAAAGGAAGAGGCTCCCTGGAAAGCGCCTCTGCCATGAGCCTCCTCAGGTTTTTCACACCGGAGACGTTCGGGGATGCAACAAATGGAGGAAACAGCAGCAATTTCTGCTTGCTCCAGATGGGAACCCTTTGGATCTCACCTCACTGTCTCTCCTCCCCTTTTTCATTAATTTTTTTCTTGCAAGGGGGGAATAAGAGAAGGATCTGATAGACTCCTGAGGATGGTAAATATGATATCTCAATTGTATGAAGAGCCCAAACTGTCCCCAGCTGCCACGGACTCCATGCCCATCAGCGTGTATTTTAATAACGAGAAGACCCGGGTGGCAGTTTTATGGGGGTAATGCAGTTTCTTTCCATGGAGTATTTCCATATCATTTGCAAAATGTTGTCCAATGTTTTATTTTACCTGTTTCCCTTTAGAAGGCAGTTCCTGATGGCAAAAATCAATTTCACTCTCAACCGTTTAACTTAGCTGTTTCTTTAATTGTACTGAGGGAATGAGACACAATTAAGCAGAGCACTTCTTATAGCGAATACCAGGAATATATATAGATATATATATACAGTATATATTTTTCAGTTACTTGTAACCTAACACAGCACTGCCAATTTAAGCAGCTAGTACAAACAAGCAATCAGAAAACCTATTTTCAGTGAGATTTTTTAAGGCATTTGTTTGTTTGGGTTTGATTTTTTAAGTTATGCACTTAATAAGGTGTTTTCTGTGTACTCATTTTATAAAGTGCTTGTGTAATTTATGTGGAAACGAAAAAAAAATCAAAATAAAAATCTCCAGGGTACTGAATAAATCATTTAAAGCCTTGCTTTTCCCTGTCTATTAGTTCCCTGCGAGGAGACAGCGTATCACAACTACTGCTGAAACCCCTGCTATTTTCTGTTAAATGAAAATAGAGTTAGCATTAGACTTTGCTCAGGTTCACTCGGCTTTGGAAGCTCCAGAGGTAATTTGTTGTATTTTAACCCCTGATCCTCTAAATATTTTCATGCTTCTACCCAGCAGTGCTTTAACCAAAGCCCTTCTGGGAGGCTTGCTGGGGTGGCAGGAATTGGCCTTAAACTCATGTTAAATAATTTCTTGAGGAAGATCTTGGAGTGGGGTCTCACCTGGGCTGGGTTGGGTCTAAAAATACTTGTGTTTAAAACTTTATATGGAAAGTGGAATTTGAATATAAAGAAATGTGCAAGAGTACAAACTTGCAGGGAATTATCTGGGGGACCCTGTTTTCTGTTCACACTCAGCTTTACTCAAGGACATTGTTCCCATCTGGGCAAGCCTTACTCAGTGGAAAATAAAACTGGTGGGAAAACCCCCTTCAGTTTCCTTGGGGAATCTCCCAGCCTTACGGCCAGGGAAGCTGCATTGACTTCAGCCTTGAATTTCTTCCACCACTGGGAATTACGGGGAAAAGGATGTTGGAGGAGAGGACTGAAAAGGGTGGCAAGCCGCAAGCCCTGAATCCAGGCTGCCTGTGGGATATGTGTGACAAAATGCCCAGAGTCTTTGACGCCCAGTTGATAGTGCTTCTGGAAGCTGGGTTCTTTGCGTGCAGCATTGCTGAGGAGCTTGTGTGTATGAATAGCCTGCTTTACCCCAAATCTGTTACTGCAGGATTGGGCTGAATATTTATGGGTCATTCACTCTTTCAGTGTGTGAGTGAACACAGAGAAACACCTCCAGTGATGGAGAGACAAGATGCCAAAAAAGAAATAAGAAAAGAAAGAAAAATTAAAGAAAAACCACAGGAAAATAAGGAAATACAGACAACACACATATTTTTTGAGATGTATCTGAAATATACTTGATTACCTCCCAAAACCTACTAAAGTAAAATACCTTCTATTCTTCTTCTCAAGATAAATTTCACAGAAGTCTTTTGTTTGGGTTCTGTTTCATACTACAGATAGATTTTTAGGTGCTGATTATGGTAATTATTTAATACATGCCCAACTTCTGCTGCAAAGATAATGCTGGGGTTAGGGCTTACCCCTTCAGGAGGCATCGTTGTGTGCAGGTTTTTAATGGTTTACAGTTTGTTGCAGTGTACGTTTTTGTTTTCAAGGTTTCTGTGTAGGAAAAAGCACCAACCACAAAATGATAATAATAAAAAAAGGATGATAGAGCTCACTGTTGATATTAAAAGTGTTTTCTATTTTATTATTATGACACATCAATATCATAAAATTTAATTCCGAGACAGCCATTTTATAATATCCACATTATTCAGTTCATATTCCAAAATGTTTCTCAGCGAAGTCGAACGTATGATAATGCATATCCAAGGGCATGTGTTTAGATACAATATTTAGCTACATCTTGTTCTTAAAATTGTTGACTTCCTCCTTTTCTTATCAATCTTTCCTGATTTAAAAAAAAAAAAAAAGACATAAAGAAAAGAAAGAAATCTTGATGTGAGGTGACAAAATATGGAACACTGGAACCAGAAAAATAGCCGTCATCTGGTCTTCCTTGTCCTGGAACAATCGCTTCTGGAAGGGGTTTCTCTTAAAGTATTTCTCCTGGATTCATTTTTAAAATTGGTTTAGTGGCAGGAGGTGGTTTTGATATCTGCATATGTGCTTCCAGTTATAAATATGATGATCTGTACGTAGACAATAAAAGTTGCCTGAAATATGATGGAATTAATAAGCAATGACATGAAACAATGACACGTAATGATATGTTTCACAGACTGACATCACCTCAGCCATATCCTGGGGCCATCTATACCATGTTGAAGGCTGATTTAATTTTTCGTATTATACCTATTTGGGAACAGGAATAAAATTGCATTAAGATGCCTTGAAAGTCATTTCCCCCCTTACCGCTCTCTTGAAATATAGCAAATTCCAAATGTGGAATGGGAGTTAGGAAGAAATGTTTTTACCACTGTTTGTCTGTATCTAGGAAATACAGACCAAGGCGGAGTGAATTGGGCTGGAGGAGGAAAGCCTGTGTGATATCGGCAGCTGAGGGTACATAGGCAACGCAAGAGAGTGGTCATGCACACCTCTGTCATCCACAGCACTGCCAGGGATCAAGAGCTATCAATCATGTTGGGATGGCTGTGGATGTGCTAAGCTTTTCTAGGCAAAATCTGTGGGGTTGGGGGAGAAAAAGTAAGTGTAGTATTAAACATCTGTGCAGAGCTGGAAGAGACAAAGCCCAGCTGGATGGGCTGTGGTTGTCTGGGTTTGGTCCCAGCTCAGCAAACTATGTGGGCAAGTGGGACCAGAGGTCTGGCCCCCATTTAGCCAATTAGTTAAGCACATGAGTCATCCAGGATCAGTTGATCTATCTCTGTGGAGCGATGGGCCCAGGGAAAGGCTGAAGGGTCTTTGCTGGAGACTCCTGCCTTGAATGGAGCCTGCAGTTGTGCTTTGTCCTGGGTACGGGCCAGCACGTGTGGCCCCTTGCAGTACATGCATGCCTCAATTTCTGGTCAAGTAACTTGTAAAGGCCACATGCAGCTTTTCTTGGACTGCATTATTCCACCTATGGGGCATATGTTGTATATTTATTGCTGCTTTTCCTGCAGCAACATCTGTGAGAGTCACCTGTCATTTGCTGGAGGAAGACTGGGCAAGTATACCTGTTCTCTGTGTACCGTGTATAACTGATAATAAAAGGAGGCTCTGACCCCACCAACACCCATATAGAGGACCATTTTCATTACCTAACCACTACTGTAGATCAGCAATTTAACCAACCTACCCTAAAAACAACGTGCAGAGCCCCAGCCCCTCCTTGCTGCTGAGGACAGCTTACATGCAGTCCTGGACTAGATAGAGTAGAAAACACAAGTGGATTTACCGACCAAACTGAAAATGGCTTTGCTGAAAACTGTTTGGGTTACAGCAAAAAGCCAGCCCTGTCTGGGGTCCTGGGACAGCTGGAACTTTTTGAATTAATCTTTTTTCCCCTCCTGCCAGAAGCAGACTGGCTGAGTGACATTGATTTCTTTGTGCAACACTGAGCTTTGGCAGCCGGTTGGCCGAAAAACGTTTGTGAAATACAACATTGAATGACCCAAATATCCTGGGTTGAAATTTTTATAAGTGGAAAAGTCTTAATTTGTGAAGAAAAATCAGATTTCAGAGAAACAGAAAATGGTTTGGGTTGGAAGTGACCTTAAAGATCATCCAGTTCCGAATATTAAAGGAAGAAGGAAAGCACACAAAGCTTACAGATTGTTGCAAAAAGCTTCTGCTGAAGTCAGACCAGGTTGTCTGGTTTTGCAGATCTTTTGTTTGTCAGCCTAGCTGGGACCTCGATTTTTTTTCTATTATTTTTATTATTATTAATTTTTTTGCCTTTGTTACAGTAGGAGATTTCTGTTTGATGTGTCCGTGCTTGCCCAACATTAGGACAGAGATTCTTTGCCCCTATTCTTTTCCATTGACCAGAAACTCCTGGTTAATTTGGGAGTTTTAAACAGATTCTATGCATTTACTCAAGTCAAAATTGCATTCAAAGAGATTTTATTTTTCCCCCAAAAGCACCAAAAAAAACCTTTCATTTTCCAAGTCCAGAAATTAATTTTTGGCTTCCTTCTATTTTCTTGCTTTTGCAGCTGGCTGTGGGAAGCATGGGGCTGGCTCTGGCAGCTCTTACCTGTGGAACTCTTAATCACACCCCAACCTCCAGCCGAAATTCTGTGAGTTAAAGGTGTCGTGTCCCCCCCACCCGCCCTGAGCTTCCTTGGGGCTGGAAATTCAGTGCTTACCTTCAGATCAGCTGCCCTTTGCCTCTCTGCTTCTGGAGCGAAAATAAAATGAGCAGAAATAGACGGGGAGTCCCTCCTCTGATTTTTGAGCAGGAAGGAACCAGGCTTGAGAAA